CCGCCGCCTCCCGCCCGCGCGGCCGCAGCCGGACTGGGGGGTCCTGAAACTTGGCGCAGCGGCGGGCAACGAGGCCCCCGACCCGGCCCGCCGCCCGAGGCCTGCCATTGTGCGCGCTGTCAGTGTCGCGGGCTTGTTTTGGTCGGGCGGGGATTGTTTTGAGGCCGAAGCCGCTAGGCAGCGCTCCACCTACCGACAGGCCGCCCGGCCTCCGAGTGCCCCTCCTTGTCGGGGCGCCTGGGAACCAGAGCCCGCAGGGACTCACCCCCTGGCCTGCCCGGGGAAGCCTTTCCACCGGAACGTACCCCGAGTCCTGAAGGACTGCCCGGTCCCCTGCACAGCTCGGGGCTCGGGCGTGGACGGACCTTCGGTTTCTCTCCCGCCCTGGGCTGCCCGGCCTGTCGCCTTGGAGGTCGATAACTGCAGACCCAGCGGAAAACGGGCTGGCTTCCCCTCAGCCCGAGGCTTTCTCAAACTCGGGGGTCTCACGTTTCCCAGCACTGGTTCCTCTACATCCCCACGAGCCCCGTGCCGTCTTCCCTTCCTGGGCTTAGATAGGCGTTCTCCGAGCGGAAAAGATGGTTGGACGCTCCACTTTTCGGTTCGGATAGACATGAAAGCAGGTTCAGCTCTTTTTTTTTTTTTTTTTAATAAGATTTTGCTGTGTCGCAAATAGGGTCACACGAGGTTTTAGAATCTAAAGAATTTGGAAAGGCACCTCGACATGGAAATAATGATAAAGGGGTTTGGCAGTTCTGATTGTTGCCAAGGGGCATGTTAAAAGTGGGCTGGTTTTGTTGCTTATCAGATAGGGTAATAAATGCTGCTTACTTTTCACTTATTATGAAAATAACTTAAAACTCAAGAAAAAGATAGTTCAGGCTGGGTTTAATCCTGCCAAGCTATCAAATATGTTTTCAATTAACCATACCACCTTCCAGCTTATTATCCACATTTCTCCATAACTTTTAAATGGTTGGAAACTGTTCTTTTTTCACTCAATGCTAGTTACTATGTGGTCTTCATATTTATTATTTTTGGTGGCTGTCTTGTAGGACATTAGCTTCTTTCATCGTAATTTATGAAATCATTTTCCTGTTGTTGGAGATTCAGGTTCTGTAACATTTTTCCCCCTCAGTGCTCTACATGAATTTGCTAAACATCTTTACGTTTATAGATTTTTTTTCTGTTGAATTATTTCTGTGGAGTAATTTTCTGGAGTAACACTGTTTTTCTTTTCAGAAAACTGATTGGGAGGTAGCTATTAAAAGTATTAATAAAAAGAACTTGTCAAAATCACAAATACTGCTTGGGAAGGAAATTAAAATCTTAAAGGTATGTTTATGTGATATTGCATACTAGGTTAAAACTTACTTTAAATAAATGCATGATGACATCCTTTGTAATTTTGGTAGTTTGACCCAAGTTTGAGAATTTTCACCTGTTGCTCCCATTTTTGCATGCTCAGTTCTTGAAACATTGAGTACTTGGAAGCTATTTTTAAAAACATGTTTGTGGGTCTTGGCCAATGCTTAGAGAGATTCTATGAAAACTGATTTTAGCTTTTCATCATTTCTTTCCTCCAGTTATTGTGTTGTTTGAGAAGAGGCAGGCCCCTCTTATACATTATTTACCTCTTCTGTTGATCTCTTTCATGTTACAGTTAAGTTTTTTTGGGAACTAGGGTAGTTGGGGTCTTTTTTCCTTGTAAATTGAAGAAAGTTATTTTCCTTGGAAGTGGTCTTTTTAGATCACTCACAAGCAGTGTTATCCAAGTGAGATGCTTTGAGGAAAAAATGGGTCCCATGGTCAAATAATGTGGAAAATCTTGTTTACTAAGTACTTGGAGAGTCACAAAGCTCTTGGCTCATTAAAGATAGTCTGAAAAATTATTCAATGAAGAAACTGGTGTAGGTGTGTTTAACCCAGTGTTTCCCAAACTAATATGAACGTGGAACCCTCATCTAACACCAGCTTTCATCAAAACTACTATTCTCTGGACAGCTGTTTGGTAAGAATGGTAGCTCTTTGAGGTAAGAATTAGTTTGTTTTCTTTTAGGCAAATAATGTGCTTTTTAAAAACACTTTGGAATTTTATGCCTCTATTGGAAATTGAATATTAAATTTAAAAGACTAGCAGACAGTCTGTGGTTATACTAGCTATGACATTTATTTTATACAAGAGTACTCACCTTGTGGGGCCAGCCTGGTAGTGCAAGTGGTTAAGTGTGCGTGCTCTCTTGTGGTGGCTTGGCGTTCACCAGTTCGGATCCGGGGCGCGCACTGATGCACTGCTTGGCAAGCCATGCTGTGGCGGCCTCCCATATAAAGTGGAGGAAGATGGGCACGGATGTTAGCCCAGGGCCAGTCTTCCTCAGCAAAAAAAGAGGAGGATTGGCAGATGTTAGCACAGGGCTGATCTCCTGACCAAAAAAAAAAAAAAAAGAGAACTAAGAGTACTCACCTTGTTAAGAGTCTAAAAAATGATGGTGGCGAAAAAATAGTTAGGCCCCAAGTAAAGTTTGATCAGGCACATTTCTTCTTATTCTTTAGTAGATTGAATTGTCCTAATCTAGTATCAGAAGTGTGGTATACTAGAAATAGTATATATGTATATATATGTGTATGTATGCTTAAATTTTTATTTGCATATTGAAATATATTAAAATTATTAGAATAAATACAAATATTTTGAATTCTCAATTTTCTTAACAGGAACTACAGCATGAAAATATTGTCGCACTCTATGACGTTCAGGTACCTTATTTTGCATTTAAAAAAAATTTGCTTGTCTGTTAATGAAGAACTTAAAGTTTTTTTTCTATTTCATACAAATTTAAGCAAATCTTAATAGAAATAGAAAATTGCCTTATTGTTGAAAAGATATATGGCTTGAGTTATATGTTTATTAATTAAGAAATTATTTAAAATAGCATGGGACAATAGGATAAAATAAATAATGTGCTGCATGAGTGAACTTATTAATGAGTCATGATATACTATAGGAGTAGCGTTTTAGGTCAAGTAAAGGAATATTGATAGCACATCTAGCATTTCTGTGATAAATGTAGAAAGGACTGTGTGGGCTATTAAAAAATTAGGTAGAGCTTTTTCATTATTGTGACAGCAACATTTACTAATTGTAGAGATACTAGAAAATAGACTAAATAAGAACAAGGAACACTGTGCATATTCATCACCCAGATATATCTGTGATTTTGCCATTGGATACAGTAGAGTTGCATTTTATTTGGAGGTGGGAAGGCTAGGTTCTGAAGTTATCTTCTAAGGCAGCATTTCTATGTAGTCAAAATTACCCTTGGGAATCCTTTTAAAAAGCCCAACTTTGGAGAAAATTACTGTTTTTTGGGTGGAGCACCAGAGCAAGTAGTTGGCTTATATGTAGGGGCCATATTATGTTTTAAAAAAACTTCCTTTCAATCCTAGACTCACTTGGCTAGTGTGGTATTCACCCTGTGAGAGCCTCGGGGTCGGAGATCGACCGAGACAGCAAATGCAGCATTTCCTCCACTCTCATGCCAGAGCAGACCAGGGTGCATGATTTACACTATTGCCTTCTTTTGTTTTGCTCAGTCTGGACAGTTGCATTCCAGTAAATTAAATAGATGTGTTATGTGATTCTGCTTTGGTATATTTCTAGCTAAAATCTTTTCTGTATACACTTGGCATTACTCAAATTCATTCATTTTGTAAGGTTTTGAGTGGCTGCTATGTGCCAGGCGTTGTTCTGAGTGCTAGGAATAAAGCAGTGAGTAAAACAAAGTTCTTGCTCTCAGTGTGCTTAATTTTAGTGGAGTGAGACAAAAGGGACTGTTCCATATGTACTTTTTTTTTATATAGTCATTTTTCATGTAGTCATATCACATCACAAAGTATTTAACTAAACCTATGTTATAAGATGTTGAGGTTTTTACCCTTATAGAAAAATGCTATGAGGATAATATATACTTTCTGAACATATCTAATTATTTCTTTTAAGTTCAATTTCTAGGATTGGAATTACCAAGGTAAACAGCATGCGTAATTTTAAAGTTTTTGATTGTAGAGTGTGATTACTCTCTAAAAAAATTGCAATTTGAACTCCATGCACAGAATATGTGAGTGCTACGGGATGTATTTTACTACCTGTTTAAATAGGTGTAACTCATTCCCTCATTTGAGAAATTCAATGCAATATAGAAAGAAAGGAGGAAGAGAGTTTAAAGTCAAAACTAAACACATTTCACAATCCCTAGTGGAAATGTGGATTCTCCTCAGAGTTGTTTGTGTAGTTGTCTTAGTCTCTATAGATAGAGGGCACCAAGTGGTACAAGTCGGTGCCTAGTACAAAAATTGTTAAATAATATTAACTCTTAGTTTCCCATTTTTTGAGAGGTACAGAAAACCCTGTCAGTTGCAAAGTAGGTTTTACTTAGATACTTAGATTTTGTCTATCAGAATGAAAAATATCTTTAAGTACTAGCTTTGGTTGTAGAATGAGATATTATTAGGGAGAACATGTACTCAAAAACCTGATTATCAAACAATCAGGAATTTCAAGGTGACTACATTAAAATGTTTATTATTTTGTGCATTGTATACCACTGGAATTTATAAAAATAAATTTAAGAAATATCAGTCAAATGAATATAGTCTTAATCTTAAGCATTTGGCTATCGAGTAAATAGTCTTCGTCTAATATTTTAGATTTGCTCCTTGATTTTATTTATCCAGGGGTACAGTATGTTTGTAGAGACTGGTACAGTAATTTTATCAACTTGAACATAATTTTTACTGGCCGTCAGTTTTGGAGATCCATCTAAAGTTTATGTACAGACTTTTATAAATTGAGAACTTTTGACATTGTGTATAAAAAGTTACAGTTTAGATGACACTTAAAAAGAAACATTTTCCCTAATTACAAAAGTAATATATGTCCATAGTTAAAATAAGAATTGTCAAAATGAATTAATTAGAAAAGAAATGGCAATTCCTAGAGATAACCACTGTTATATTTCTTTTAGAGTTTTCTAAATACATATATGAATCTATAGTCATTTATACTTAGGTTTTTAAGTTTTTCATTATGAGAGACTTATTAATAGTATTTTTATAGAAATGCAACTTGTTTTACTAAACTTAATGTATCTTGGATAATTTTTCATATCAGTATAATACTGTAGGACTAAATGATAATTTATTTACTTAAAACTGGATTGTGGCCATTTGGGTTGTTTCTTATTTTTCCCTATTAGAAACAGTGCTGCAGAGAAAATTTTGTACATACATCTTCGCTTATTTGTATGAATGTTCCTGTAGAATAAATTCCTTGACATGGAATTACTTGGTCAAAGATATTACCATATTGCCTTCCAAAAGATTGTACCAATTTATCTTGACCAATAATGACCTGTGGGTTTTTTTTTCTTTTTTTGACAGTCTCATAGGAGGAAAATATCTTGTTTTATTTTTTATTTCTTAAATCATTAGTGCATTGACCATCTTCATGTTTTATTTTTCTTTTTGTATTTCTTCTGTTAACTCTCCTGTTGCTGTTCTGTCATGATTCTGTTGTGCTCATTTTTCTTACTAATTTCTTCATGATTCATATTTCTTGAGCCAGTTAGTGGGTTGTACAAGAGTATAGTGGTGAACAAAATAGAAATGGTCCTTAGCCTTGTGGAGCTCTCAGTATATTGGGGAAGATGACATGAAGCAAACAGTTACTAATTCTAAGTGTGCACAGTGCTGTAAGGGAGAGCGATTGGAGGGATTTGGAGGAAACGTGGGGTTAGGGGAGCAGGGCATCCACTTTGTGGGGCTGGGGAAGACTCCCTGAAGAAAGGACGTTTAAACCGATTTGATGGAAGAGTGGAAGAAGGTGAGGCTCGGGAAGTGGGAGAAGAGCAAGTAAGCCTCGTGGAGAGCGGACAGGAAAGATCCGAGTTTGAGGAACTGGAGGAAGGCCATTGTGATGGGAGTGCAGGAGTGAGGGAGAGAGGAGTGTTGGAGGATGCAGGAGCAGTTGGCAGGGGCCACCCGTGATCTCTATGCTAAGGACAGTGCAAAGCCATTAAAGAGTTTTACAAGCAGGAGAGTGATATCATGTCTGTTTTTCAAAAGGTACGTGTCTTTGAGCATTCTGGGGGTGAGATAAGTATTGTCAGTTAGGAATACTTACGTGCGTGATTGTCAGTGACCTAGGTAAATATCCACCTCTTGGTAATTTTTAGTATAGTGGCGAAAAGATGATGCATTTAATAGATGGTGCTGCCCAAACTGAGACATCTGAGAGAAAATAAAGTTGGATCCCTATTCTCATTATTTTCCAAAATAATTTCCAAATGAATTAAAGGCTTAAATATGTAAAATAAATAATAACAATCTTAGAATAATATTTAAATGACTGTATATAGTCCAAGAGATGGAAAGTTATTTTAAGTCAAAATAAGAAACTCAGAAGCTATAAAAGTAGGGACATATAAAAATTTTAAAAACTTATTTTATGGCAAATAATACCATGAACGAGTTGACAGCCGTAAAAAGAACGAACTTGATATGTGCCCTAACACATATATGAATCGCAAACATTATGTTGAGGAAAAGAAGCCAGCCAAATACAGGTACTGTATGATTCTGTTTTTGTGAGTTTCAAGAAGAGAGGGAACTCAGCTAGGGTGATAGGAATCAGGGAAAGCAGACGGAGGCTGCCTCTTAGTAGCGGGGTTGACGGCCAGGAGGCATGAGGGAACTTTTTGGGGTGATGGAAATGTTCTATATTTTGACTGGAAGAGTAGTTACATGGGTGTTTACATTTGTCACAGCTCATTGAACCCTACACTTAAATCTGTCTGAGTTATTGTGTGTAAATTATACCATAATAAGATGCAAAACAATGCAATTGACAATAGTTTGAGGAAGTATTTACAGCACACAGATAACAGGCTAATAGCTACAGCATATAAATCCTCTCACCAATTGATAAAGAAAAGACAACCCAAAGAGAAAGCAAGCAAAGGATATAAATTGTGTTCTCATAAAAGAGAAAGAAAAATGACTAATAAATGTATGAAATTATTTTCACGAACAAGTAGTCAGGGAAGTGTGAATTAAAGTAACAGTGAGATGTGACTTCTCACCCTTCCAGTTGGCAAAATTAAAAAGTGCAGTAATTCTTACTGGTGGAATTGGGGAGGGGATGTGGAATATTTTCATATATCACTGGGAGAAATGTGAATTATTAGAATATTTTTGGAATGCTGTCTGGCAGTATTTTGCTCCATACCCTGAAGAATATTCTCGACATTGCAATCAAAGTAATCCTGGTAATGCAAGTCAGGGCATGTTACTGCTCTGCTTAGACCCCTGCAGTGTCTCTTCATTTCTCTGAGTAAAAGCCAAACCCTATTATCTCTGACTCCCTCTGTTCCTCCTCTGCACCTGGCTGATCCCACTCCATCCACACGGGCCTCCTTGTGGTTACTGAAGCACTCTATACTCTGGTCCTTTGCCCGTTTTTTTCTTTTGCCTAGGATCCTCCTCCTCCAGATAGACTGCATATACAGATATATCTGTATCTCTGTAGTACACACAGATATATTCCCAACCTTCTTTAGGTCTTTACTAAAACATCGTGTTCTCAAGGAAGCTTTCTTTAGCCACCCTAAATAAAATTGTAGTTCCCTCCCCTGCACTGTCTATTCTCTTTTTCTACTTTTTTTCCAAAGCACTAGTCACCTTCTAACATAGTACTCTGT